TTGAGAGGCTCAGGCTTTGGAGAATATTTCCCATTCAAATAAGACTTAAATCTTCAAATTCAGCCTTCATTTACGCGCGCTTCTCGTGTACGGACAATTAAATTTCTGGCGGGAAAATTACTTATTGAACAGTTGAGTTATTTTCAAAAAATACCGCCAAACGGAAATAGTTCATTTCTTTTTATGCAATTACGACGATTTTCGACATTAGGCACATGAAGTAGGTGTGAAGGGACAGCAGTTGGCCTAATCCAATTATTGTGCAAAAACGCATGATCGCACCGGCTCGCCTGGTGCGTTTCAGCCTGGGTTATTGTCGGAAATTCAATTAGCCACTGCATCTCCTCCCCCTTCCCCCGCTTCCTTTCGTTCACCAACCCGACCCGGCGCTACCCGCCCCCTGGCCCAACTCGTCCCGATCTGGCCCGGCCGTTCTGACCCGACCCGACCCAACTCAACTCATCCTGCCCCGGCTCGTCGTCCCGTCCTGACTCGACCCGGATCGCTCTGACCCAACCCCGGCCGGCTCATCCACCAGTTCGACCGAGCCGGGTTTTAGTAATACATGCAGCGTCATGGCCGAACCGCAAATCCCAGAATTTCGGGAGTGGGTATGTGTTAGCTAACAGCAGAGCTGCGTTCGTTTAGGGCAGGGTGGGGGCTGTGTAAGATGTTGATTGGTTTGCTGGGTTGTGTGTGCGGTCGTTTTCGCTCATTATGCGTTTTTTGCAGCTATGCAATGCAAAAACGCATATTGTCGGTGGGTTGTCTGTGTGTGTATGTGTGTCTGTGTGTGCGTCTGTAACGAGTTTTCTTCTCGAGATCCGCAAAAGCTAGAAGGGTGAAAATTTGTTGACTTAATCTACACATACGTTTGGGCTCGTGTCCTCAAAATGGACGCTCAGGGCCGCGTGGTTCTCACGTAGGGGCGCGTGAAAGTTTTTTTGACAGGAAGGCGTTTTCGGGAACGGCCCGTGCTAGGAGGCTGGGACTAGAGATGTTCCTTGGCAGCGTCTGATCCAAAGATTTTAAATTCAGCCTTCATGTACCTTCAGGTCTCACGTATGCACACGTCAAAGTTTAAACTGGCATCATGCCAACTCCAGATTTAAGCTGGCCGGTAAGCTGCAGGGAGCTGCAACTTTGCAGCGTTACTTGTCGCCTACTGTTGTGCCCATGTAAGTAAATTACTTGTCTGCTGTTCTGCATCTCACGTACGAACACGTGAAAAATTTCACGCACGCGCTTTTGTAACTTCAGAATTAAACCAGCCAGAGGACCTGGACTTTCTGAGCATAGTCAATGGCGACCTTTGACCAAGTGCACGCAAAAACGACTTACACACCACTTTCACGTGTACACACGTGAAATTTGACGTAACTACGCAACCAGAACAGCTGGAGTGCTGAAACTTTCTGAACGCTACCCATGACCGTCTTTGAGCAGGCGCGAGCGATGAAAGCACTCACTTTGCCACCCACATACGAACACGTGAAATTTGACGTAACTCTTCGACCAGAGCAGTTAGGGTGCTGAAACTTTCTGAGCGCTACTCGGGACCGTGTTTGAGCAACTGCTGGCGAAGAAATCATTCACGTAGCCACTCGCGTATGAACACGTGAATTTTGACGTGATTCTGCAACCAGAGCAGCTGAAGCGCCGAAACCTTCTGGACGCTACCCATAGCCGTGCTTCAGCAGGCGCGAGCGATGAAAGCATTCACGTAGCCACTCCCGTACGAACACGTGAAATTTGACGTAACTCTGCAACCGAAACAAAAGAGCGCTGGATCTTCTGGGCATGGATTGGGAGTCACTGTAATAGTTTTTAACAGTCGTGGTGGCCAGTCTCAATTCTTTTAGCTAGAAGTATCTGCCAGGAAGAACGTGCCACTGGCGGAAAAAACCTGCGGGGGAACTGTGCGAAAAACGCATTCTCATGCCGGCAGCCGGTACGCTTTCTACTAAGTTTCATTTGTTTAGGCAGGGTATCAGGCTGCTTCGGACGGGTCCATTCCGGCGATTGCTTGCGAAACATTGTTATGGAGGAGAGCCGGTGGCCGGTCAACGCCCAATGAGGTAAGCCGTTGAAACTTGCGCAGGGGACCGAGTGTTGCCATTGGGGACTTCGATTTGTATTATTACCATCATCGTAACTGGGAGCGTTCTGGAGCGGAGCAGTGCCAATTTTCTCTGGGGAGCGCAGTATGCCAGATCTGCTTGCGCAGTTCTCCTGTTCGGTTTTTTAGCCAGTCGCCATCTGCGGTGTTCGAATGGGCCTAACACGACGGGGTTGCACGGTGCTGCGTTTAGAAGTTGCACATGGGCGGCAGCTGGGAGCTGTGTCTCTTTTTGCAGTTCTTCGTTAAAAGCAATAGTTTGAAAGGTGCCATAAGGGGGTAGCTGGTGCTTCAGATACTTCTTTATTCCGCATTTGACGAGCATTGGCCATTTGTTGTTTAAATGCACGCTATGCTTGCACGGCCATGATCAACGAAGCATGCCCCAAATTGGAGCAAAGGCGCTGATGGCGACTGGAAGCAACCGAACAGTGAAAGAATCAATCCAGCTTTTATCTTATTGCAGCCCTGTCCAAGTGTGGCTGTGTGTGTGTATATGTGTGGGTGTGTGTGTGTGTGTGTGTAAGTTAGGAGTGGGGCAGCGAATTTGCGAAGGGGAAAAGCATATTAACTATAGTTCAGTGATGCTGTAGAGGAACTGCAGGATATTTGATTGGTTCTCCTGTGCAGATTTTAGGGTGATGAACAATATGGGCAACGTGAACTGCATGGACCAACCTACGAGACGTGTTCCCTGGATGGTTGGGAGGATTGTGGAACAGGTAATTTCCGTTGTTTGTATTTTGGGACCAAAACCGCTGGTTAGTGCACGTCGGTAGCGCATGCTTCTGGAATATCCGCACTGGAAAATTTGAGGTGTTATTTTTCACACAGTTTTTGAGACTGTGCCTCCTTTTGTTTCATTTTATTAAATTAGCATGAATTTGAGTGTAATGTGAGATATTGGCTTGATTCTCCTTTGCATATTTTAAGGTGATTAAAAAACAAGATGGTAGCCATGGACAGCATGGACTAACGTGCGAGACGTGAGCCCTGTATGGAAGGAATCAGCCATGGAGCAGGTAATTTCCATTAGTTTTTATTTGACAGCGATTGGGGCATGATTTTCCCGAGCGTAGAGCGAAGACTGAGACATGATTTGAGGCAATTTGCCCGAAATCATCTTTTTACCAGTAATATCAAGCTAATAGATCTTGCAACGTGATAATGAGCGCTGCTTTTTCAGCGTCCCCGATATATAATGTGGTGGTGGTGGCAGGTGTACAGGCGCATCACCACCGGTCGGAGGCTTACCGCTGAACGCCACTCGTCTCCAGGATGCTCAT